TGCCAATATTTTTTTGTTCATACTTTACTTTTAGCATATTGAAATGTTTATTCAAAGTGAAAGCCACATAGGAAGGTGTGCAATTATTTTTTTTAAATCACATGAAAAAGAAACACAAAGTTAGCACAGTGAGGTTACGGTTGAAACAAAGTAAGTGTGATTTGCGCACCCTTTTAATTAATCAGTACCGGGGCTGCCAGATATTTGAGCTTTGACCCCAGTGAGAGTTCAAAGTTTGAGTAACTAAAAGAAAAAACAATAATAACTGGAAAAAAAATATTCAACTCAAATCAAAAGCATCTAGAAAAACATCTTCCATAAGAAAAAAAATATTTGACTCCAAATGAAAAGCATCTAGAAAAGCATCTACCATTTAAACGTCAAAAAGACATCTAAATAAAAGGAAAAACATATGAAAAGCATCTAGAAAAGCATCTACCATTTAAACGTCAAAAAGACATCTAAATGGAAGGAAAAACATATGAAAAGCATCTAGAAAAGCATCTACAATTTAAACGTCAAAAAGACATTTAAATGGAAGGAAAAACATATGAAAAGAATCTAGAAAAGCATCTACAATTTAAACGTCAAAAAGACATTTAAATGGAAGGAAAAAAAAAGCATCTAGAAATGCATCTACCATTTAAACGTCAAAAAGACATATAAATGGAAGGAAAAACATATGAAAAGAATCTAGAAAAGCATCTACCATTTAAACGTCAAAAAGACATTTAAATGGAAGGAAAAATATATGAAAAGAATCTAGAAAAGCATCTACCATTTAAACGTCAAAAAGACATCTAAATGGAAGGAAAAACATCTAAATGTGGATGTAAAATATCCGAAGTGGCAACACTGAACGTCATAGTAAAGGCGCGCTTTGCAAGAGCGCGCTTTTGCGATGTGAACAACTTGGATGTAGAGAAACCGCGAGAAACCACAACCTGAACACCCTAGAATTTATTGGGAATGTCTCCTGTGACGTCATTGTGACGTCAGGGGTACGCAAAAAATATAGTACCTGAAATTATACAGGCATAGATTGACACGTCTGGACGCTTGGAGCCGGCAAGAGAGAATGGCGTCACTTAGACACTCCAGGCGTTGGTAAAAAAAAGAAGTCCCTAGTATACATGGGCAAGGAGTGCATCGGTTTCTAAGAAACCTCAATTAACTCCTCTAATATATATCAAAGATATATACATTTAAAAGTGGAGTTTAGTTAAAGCAACCAGAAAATGTAGACATAATAATGTTGTCCAATAAAGACCTATATATATAGATATAAGGGACTATATCTTTCCGGACGAGTCCAAGTTTGAATTTTGTGAAGATTTACAGGTAAGTTAGGTTACCAGTCTTACAGACTGATGCGTAATGGCTTATCATTTCACGACAGCCTGGAGGATTCATGTACATATATCACAATATATCACAAGTTTGAGAAAATGTGTGATCACAAGCGACAATGCTACTGGAACGAGTGCTAAACATTGATGTAACATGCGCAAAATCCGGGACTTCCCCTCTCCTCGCCACTCGTTATGCGAAACGTCGCTCGTTAAGCAAGTCATTCTTTTACAATTTGTTTTGCTCGTTATGCGAATTACTCGTTATGAGAGGTGCTCGTTAAGCGAGGTTCTATTGTATATAATGGGAGCCAACCAAGCCCACTGGAGGACAGGGTACTTTATAACTGTTTTGTGGTGCCCCAGTGTAACTGCGCTATACGCTTGGAAGGGGTTCAGGGTTTTGTATTTGTTTGATTCTCATCCTTGAGATGTTAATCCTACAGACTGCAGTTCAGGAGGTGGAAGCCTAGTAACCAGAAGCTCGCTTGTCAGCCAGAAGGTGTTAGGTTTGAATCCGCATCAGGGCAGATTTTAAAAATTTTTTAATTTACGAAAAGCTTTTTTGGTTTAAAAAATTGTAACATTCAACCAGCATCACAGAAGGCGGAGCTTTAGGTTATAACTGTGATTAGGTTATTGCACTATAAACTGGCTTAGCTCTGCTCGCACTGCGATCAAAGGATACAGACCCAAATACTGTTCCGACCGGCGACAAAGTCATTTACCAGCAAGCCAATAGGCCACCCGGTCGCTTATGCCATGAAAGGGTTTCCAAACTGACCTAGCATAAATAGATAACTAATAGCAAGAAATACCTCGGCAAGTAAAGGACCGATCCATCTTGTTTTGATCGGAAGGGGTGGGGGGATGAATGTCATGATTCACATGACGAATAGGTTAAAAAACAAAAGTGCCAATGATTTATGTATGTGCTGATGAAGACTCTGTAGCCGCAACGTCCACTAGTCGTTTGTATTCGTCACACAGTTAAGCTTACTGATCTATTTTTCGTTAGTTGTATTTTTCCAAACACCCCAATGACACACACACGTCTATCACACCACATACCAAGGGCAGTCACTCTTATCTCCAAGTAACAAGGGAGACCAGCGAGCCACCATCTCTAGCAAATAATTATCTATCTCATCGCAGAGGAACAGAAAAACAAAACAAATCAAAGTTCGGTTCTTGAAAGTTTATATTTACCACAAGTGGTTGCAGGAGAATGGCGTAGAGAACTCTGCACCTAAAGAATAAATGCTTTGCTGTTTTAGGAAACAGGTAAGAAAAACAAATGGTGCGACGAAAGCCGGTCTCTGTTTGAACTTAGCAAAACAGTCGATTCATTTCTGAGCCAGGATTTGAGCTGGCAAATTTAATTAATGAGGTCGTTGATTGCTTAATACAATTATATATTGTACATAGCTAAAGCTGACAAACACACTAGGGCATTAACTGCAAATCCTCATTCAGCAGCAGAAATAGTTAGTAATAATGACAAAAATGTAATTTAGGTAATTACTAATAATTCAGGCTCTCCTTTGAACCGCATCATAAAATGGCGGCTATAAATATGATGCCGTTCGAAGGAGAGCCAAATTGGCCACATTCTGGCCATAAAATATCCAAAAATATCCAAATGGGGCTCAGTTCTATTAAAAATATGCCGGCTCTATATAACGAAACAAATGCTCTTAGCAGGGTCTCAGCGTTTTGCGCATGCCGACAAGTCTGACATCTACCGCTGCTAAATCCTCAATCGGAAGAACAGTATGTAATGTCTCGAAATTGTCAATGGTCGCTAATATCGTCTGCTAGTATTGTCTGCAGAAACGCTCGAAATTGTCAACAGTCGGTATTTATCGTCTGCTACTACCGTGTGCAATGTTGATATTGATTGTCAGGTAATCCTAGTTTTGCCGCGATTTGTTTCTCGGCAGAAACTCCGTATTTTAGATTTGCCTAAACACCGTTTGGATATTTTTTGATATTTTATGGCCAGAATGTGGCATCATATTATGGCCGCCATTTTATGATGCCGTTTGAAGTAGAGCCAAAATTCATAATAATTAGTGATCTTCACCACACACACACACAAATACATATCAGATATGATATCCTGTATAATTTAGATAACCTGACTCGGTAGCAACACATAAACATTAGCAGAATTAAACATTTTTTTTAAAAAAAAAAGGGGCGGGGGTGTTACCTGTCCCCCACCCTCTTTCAGGTTTGAGGTCCGCAGGATTAACACCTCAGAGATAAGAATTCTACTTATATAAATCCCAGGAAGCCCAGTTCAAATGTAAGGTTACATTAGGGCTCTGGCGGCTGAAAAGTAACATGGAGTCTGGACCAGGCATGGCTATTTAACTGCTTGCTAGAAGCCTTAGTCAACCTGTCTTATAGCATGCATCCATTCGTGTGCCTCTTCTGTGTCTGTGTAATGGTAAAAGGCTATCAGAATCGTCGGTTGTATCCCTTTATCTCTCTTTGCATAAATATTTCCCATTGTTGCTATTATCTATATTTTTCTGTTTACGACAAAACATGATGACCGTCTCTGTGGTGTGATAGACATGTGTGTGTGTGTCATTGCTGGTGTCTGGAAAGATACAACAACGAACGAAAAGTAAATTAGCGAGCTTCACAATATGGCGAACACAAACGAAGAATGGACGTTCTGGCTACAGAGCCTTCATCAGCACACACATAAATCATTCACACTTTCGTATTCGTCTTATGAATCCCCCCATTAGTTGACTGACAAAAGACATCGCTGATGAACTGAACTGTTTTCCCATTTTTGAGTTGACCTTGGCTCTCAGGTCAGCACAGTCTAAAATGTGTACCTGGAAATGTTCTTGAAGGCTGATGTGATATTGACCACGTCACTCATAAATTGCTGAGTTTAATTGAATTGAGTTAATTCAAGAACCAACATCACAGCACTTGGGGCATTCCCATAAGCGTTCCGCATTCCATCTTCAGCAGCCAGCACAAAGTTTAAATACCAATGGTTCCAGTGGCATTCTGGTTATACGCCCCTCTTGCCTTTCGTCTGAGCATCGAGTATCGGTTAGATCCCCTTGCCACTGCCCAGTGCATCACTCTCACCAGACTGTTGTGATCCATTTGCTCCTCCGAATTTTTCACGTTCTCCCACAAAGCCCTAACCATGTCTGCTTTATCATGTATCAGTATTCTACCACGTTGTGCAGAGCCAGCCAGTCCATCCACCTATTCATTTTCTAACACACCAGCATGCCCAGAAAAGATCCAGACAACACTTCTCATCTGTGACCTCTTAAGCAAAGCATGCCGCTTTGCACGAAGCATTCCTATCCTCACCTTCCTCAGCATGTTTTCCAAATCAGTTACAATCACGATATATCTGTGTGTGTGTCATGTTCTCTAAATAGCAAAAAGCTGCAGGGACCGCCTCTACCTGCTGACTGGTCTGTAAACATTTGCTCAATGCACCAGTGGCATTAAAAAAGACCCCTTACTGTACTTTATTATTCAGCCGTTGAATGTCCCCTGCAGGAAAGAAGACAGCCAGCTGAGCAACCAGTTCCCACAGAACCTCCCTCTTCTTCATCTTCACGGGGCAGCCGGGATACCACGCTAAGCGCTAGATGGATCATGGGCAACTCAAACCTCAAACAACATATTGAAACCGCACAGAAGACAGGAGCATGTCAGCTTCGGCATCTACATTTGAAGGAGGTGAGATACTTTAGCAAGTTTTAGCTATCTCCAGCATACGTCTCCCATGAGTTGCATATTTTTCATTGAGTGGGGAATAGGCTATCAAAATAATCATCACGCATCCCTGCACATGTGAACTGATTTCCAAACAATTTCCACACGTGTGTCAGTTACTATATACCTATACAAAGATCAAAGAAATTCACAGCTTCAATAAAACAGCAGCATCTGCACAATTGTAAATTATAGAATCATTAGGACATGTGAAATTTAAGGCCACATGAAAAATATATCTTTATCTGTACAGGAGTTTTTGAGCTATTTGTTAAAAGCCAAAAGTCCAAATAGGCAATCTACCGGGACCTTCCGCCAGAATTCACAGCCGGTGAACAGTTTCTGGGGTAGAAACAGTTCAAGAAACCACCGTCCATGGCTTCCTGGGTGGTTTTCTGGACCCCATTTTGGTGCAAGGGGGGGCGGGGGGGGAGGGGAGAATAGACCCAATGCCCTTTAACAAGCATACTGCAAAAAGCAACTAATTAGGGGGTCTTTCCTTTAAAGCCAGAGTGTTTGCCTGAGAGGTGAGGAACCAACAGTCTGCATACAGATAAACCAGATCTGTAAAATGGATGTGCTCACAAACAGAAAACTGTCTGGGGGCCAAAGTTAAAGATAAAGAAATGACTGTATGGGATAGAGAAATGTTAAAGATAACTGTCTGGGACAGAGACAAAGAAAATAACTCTGGAATAGAAGCAGTTAAAGAAATGACTGTATGGGATAGAGAAAGTTAAAGATAACTGTCTGGGACAGAGACAAAGAAATAACCTCTGGGATAGAAGCAGTTAAAGAAATGACTGTATGGGATAGAGAAAGTTAAAGATAACTGTCTGGGACAGAGACAAAGAAATAACTCTGGGATAGAAACAGTAAAAGAAATGACTGTACAGAGAAAGTTAAAGATAACTGTCTGGGACAGAGACAAAGAAAAACTCTGGGATAGAAGCAGATAAAGAAATGACTGTATGGGATAGAGAAAGTTAAAGATAACTGTCTGGGATAGAGACAAAGAAATAACTCTGGGATAGAAACAGTTAAAGAAATGACTGTATGGGATAGAGAAAGTTAAAGATAACTGTCTGGGACAGAGACAAAGAAATAACTCTGGGATAGAAACAGTTAAAGAAATGACTGTATGGGATAGAGAAAGTTAAAGATAACTGTCTGGGACAGAGACAAAGAAATAACTCTGGATTCTAGAATGGCAGTTAAAGTTTAAAATGACTGTATGGGATAGAGAAAGTTAAAGATAACTGTCTGGGACAGAGACAAAGAAATAACTCTGGGATAGAAAGTTTAAAGAAATGACTGTATGGGATAGAGAAAGTTAAAGATAACTGTCTGGGACAGAGACAAAGAAATAACTCTGGGATAGAAACAGTTAAAGAAATGACTGTATGGGATAGAGAAAGTTAAAGATAACTGTCTGGGACAGAGACAAAGAAATAACTCTGGGATAGAAACAGTTAAAGAAATGACTGTATGGGATAGAGAAAGTTAAAGATAACTGTCTGGGACAGAGACAAAGAAATAACTCTGGGATAGAAGCAGTTACAGTATGGGAAAGAAAGTTGACTGTCTGGGACAGAGACAAAGAAATAACTCTGGGATAGAAACAGAGAAATGGACTGTATGGGATAAGAAAGTTAAACTGTCTGGGACAGAGACAAAGAAATAACTCAGGGATAGAAGCAGTTAAAGAAATGACTGTATGGGATAGAGAAAGTTAAAGATAACTGTCTGGGACAGAGATAAAGAAATAACTCTGGGATAGAAACAGTTAAAGAAATCACTGTCTGGAATAGAAGCAGTTTGAGAAATCGCTGTCTGGGGTAGAAAAAAGTTTTAAAAAAGCCCCATTATTAGAACTTGACAAAGAAATAACTAAATGAATTTTAAGGCAAAAATATCGGCTTCATTGCACCAGACTTTAGCCATCTGTGGATTGATCTCTGCCTGCAGCTGGTCACCCTCTGAAAGGGTCTCACAAAGCATAAAACCCATAGCTATAGCGATAACCCTCTAGGGGGTCTGAAACACCTGCACTCTGAATCAAAGGACAGTCCAAATCTGTGAGGGAGAAGGAGGTCAATCCATGGCTGGTGAATTGGGTTGCAGCAGTCCTGTATTCACGTCAGGTTGCTCTCCGACTGGGCTTATGGACCTCTGAACCATGCACTTTGGCCCCAGGACTGCCACAGGGATCCGCCATTTCACCTGTGCTCTTCAACGTGTATACGAGCAAGATTGCAAGCCTAGAAGCACCAGGAGTTGGAAGGATACTGACTTTTGCGGATGATATACTTGCATATAGGCAGGGGGAAGAGAGGGAACAAACAGCTCGGGAGCTACAAGCGACAGTAGACAAAGTGACTGAGTGGTGTACAGAAATGAAAGCTGTCGTCCACCCGGAAAAGGCGTCTGTTTTGTGGTGTTCTCTGGACACCAGAATCGTTAAAACTAATGTCCCAAGCCTCACGATAGATGGTAGAGACGTCAACAGAGAGAGCAAACTGAAGTAACTGGGAATTACATTTGACAGGAGCCTGTCATTTAAGGACCATGTAGAGAGTGTTGTGACGAGATGCCAAAAAGGACTTAGTGCACTTAAGACTATGGCTGCAATTGACATAGAGCAGAGAATGCTTTTCAAACTATATCAGCACCTGATCCTGTCAGTGGTGGATTATGGCCTGGGACTGCTTACCGTCTCAAAGAGTCAGATGGACAAACTAGAGCGCATACAGAACGCGGCTGTGGCGCGGTGACTTATGTCACAGGCGTGAGGGGAAGTTAAGTCCAATTGATGTGTATAAGAAGATACTCCGTACGTCACTCGGGCGCCAGTCCTTTACTATCCTGGTTGTGCGGAACCTCACGCAAGACCCCGGCAGCACGTCCTCGTCGTGCGCCACGGATAATGTCTCAAATGAGCATTAACAGAGCTGTCAGGGGATCTCGGAGTCTGGCGGCCCCCAGAGGTGATGTGTCCTTGTGGCTCTCATCAGCCCGCCCCTAAACGCTTGGGTGAAAAATGTTATCAAAACTCATTAGGAACATGAGTAGGTTTGCCAAACGTACAGCCAAAATTACAACCCTTGGTTAAAAGACTGCGGAGTAAAGAGAACATTGTTCACTGCACATCCTCTGTTAACCCTCAGTGTCGTCGTCACCGTGCTGAGGTACACCACAACAGCAACCATCCATAAGCTGGCCATCCTTGTACATCCTCGGTTAACCCTCAGTGTCATCGTCACCGCGCTGAGGTACACCACAACAGCAACCACCCATCGCATGGCTAAGCCTAAATGTCCGACAAAACTAGATCATACGGATCAAAATCTGACCATCAAAATTTGTATCGAACTGAAAAAGACCGAATGTCCACACCCAAAGACCCCACTCGCCCGAGTGTTGGGACAAAACTGATAACGATATGCCTGATGCAGGATGTAAAATTCTGTCGGGCTAACGGCTCGTCAAAGAAATCTAACGAGCGAAGAAAAAAGAATGTACCTATCTGTGTGGACACAAAAGTCCAAAACCCATGGGCTGCTCCCCGCTGACTTCCAGAGGGCGCAGCCCCTGTCGAGCAGGAGGCCTGATACGGTTGTGAGGTTAAGCAGGCATGTGCAGGACGTGACGATTCCTTGGGTGAGCCCAGAAACAGAGCGCCATGTGCCGGCTCTGCATACATGGATGCCTCAATGGATGGCGGGGAATGCCCATGATCTGCCCCTGCCTTCCCTTGAGGGCTAACTGTTCCACAGGGGGCTGCCCCAAAGGGGTACTCCGGGGGCAATACCTGCAGCGAAGGAGACACCACACAAATCAGGCAACGTCTCGACCCACACAAAACAACGGCCACAGTCACCCTAGAAATAGGCCTGACGTCTTCCTTCGAAGTCGGCGTACAGCTGCCCATGAGGCAGGGAAATGAAAAACGGTTGTACACGCAAAAATCAGGTTTAGGTGAAAGCCAAAAGTCCAAGCGGACGATTAACCGGAACCTTCCACTGGAATTCACAGCCGGTGTTCGATAAAAAAAAAAAAAAAAAAAGAACGCGGCTATGCTGGTCATGCGGGAAATGAACAGGCGGACAGACTGGCTGGCTCTGCACAACTTGGTGGAATACGGCTACATGATAGGGCAGAGGTGGTTAGTGCCTTGTGGGAGAGCGTGTACAATGTGGAGGAGCAGATGGATCACCACAGTCTGGTGAGATTGATGCAGTTTGGGGTGACGAGAGGTTCTGGCAGAAGCTCAAGGCTCAGAGGAAAGGCAAGACGGACGTTTAATCAGAAAGCTACTGGCACCATTAGTATCGGAACTCTTCCCTGGCTGCTGAAGATGGGGACGGAGCGCTTATGGGAATGCCCCGAGTGCTGTGATGTCGGTTCTTGAATCAAATCAAATCAAATCAATTAAATCTGTAAGCTTGAGTGCTGAGACCAATAATTTCATCACTTCACTATGGAAAGAACTCTTGGATAAAGGAGGTTGAAGAAACAGCAGTCTTCTGACTGAATTTATCAATGGGCCTAGATACATGAATTTCTTTGTTTTATTTTCAAACTATTGGCTTTAATTTAGCAATGATACATTTAAAAAAAATATTTCCATTATTCCTTTCTTCAAATTATTCACATATTCTTCTTTCTACTCACGTTTATAGGTCCTCAATTTGTTGTTCTGATTGCTTAGTCAGTATCTATAATTCTGATCATACTGTCATTAGAATCTAGATGTACCACAGCCAAGATCTTTTTGTGTGTTACTGCTGAAAGTGGCCATGTTTTAGTTGGAGATATAGATATATAGAAGAATAGGTTTTGTGTCATGGGCACAGAACACTTCAGTACAAAGAGACTGAGAATGAGAAGAGGCTTGCTGAAAGAAATAACAGAGAGGGAAGTCATCTACTTTGGCCATATTTTTAAGACATGGTTAAAAAAAAAAAAGTTAGTTGTGTATACTTTACAAGACGTTGCAGAACCAACCCCAGCATTTATTAGCTGTTGTGATTTTTCTAGACAGATTTTACGTTCAGTAGTTTGCCATTTCTTTCTGAATGGTCAGCTCTTGGTACCACTGTGGAAACCAGCGCAGGACAAATCGCCTGCAGCTGGGATCGAACCCGGCACCTCAGCATCACGAAGCAGGTGCGCAACACCTAAACTGCAGACGCTGAAAAAGACATGGTAATGGACACAAAAGTTCACTACAATAAAAGTTTTAACATGCTGAAAAAGCCCAGCATTTATTTTGAGTAGGTAATTGAAATTCTAGATTTGCAGGCTGCCTCCGACTGGCTTCACAAGGTGCAGATTGTGATGCGTGAGAGACTCAATATACAGATGTGAGGCTAAGCAGTCATGTACAGGACATGACAGTTCCTTGGGTCGAACCCAGTAACTGAACATTATGTGTCAGCTCTGTGTTTATGGAAACCTCCTTGGATAGTGGGAAATGCCCATGTTCTGTCCCAGCTTTCTCTTGAGATTGAACCAGAATTACGTGGCTGTCTGGACTAGCTTGATGAAAAGTACTACTTGTTAAATAGGAAGCAATGATGGCGACACAACGAGGCTGTGCAGTGTCCCACAAAACTAACTGGACAATTAAACCGGGCAACAGAATCCTGATGATGTTAGATGTGTCAGCCAAAAGATGAAAATATTGCTGCCTTGTGAGTGAGCACAATACATTAACATCCTCAGATGAATACAGAAGAAGAAAAGGTATACTACTGCTTAAGACTGTTTAAAACCCATATGGGAGGGAACAGTAGCAGGCAGGCAAGAAAGTGGTAGCCAGCGATACTTGAAATAGATAATATCAAGAGATGGAGAGTATACTATTTTGTAAAAAACTGAATCATTAATTTTAATGGATCAATATTGCAGGTGCCGGAGGAGCTTCAGAAACTTTCCAAGACCTTAAGAACGGTGGATTTATCAGACAATAGAATACCACAGCTACCACCATGGTTTGTGACATTGTCCAGTTTGAAGAATTTGACAATGAACAGTTGTAAACTTGGTGAGTCTTTACCATGTGACAAAGGTTTCACTCTAGGTGTCTCTGAATTTAACTCATTAAAATGTTTGAAGATTTGAGGATTTACTTTATTGTACCATGTGACAAAGGTTTCACTCTAGGTATCTCTGAATTTTTTCTTCTTCTTCTTTGTTCACCGGCTATAAGCTTCAGTGGAAAACCCTGGTTGTTCATTCTTTGGACTTTGGCTTTGCGTCATGGCCTGAGTTTTGCATGTACATCCATTTGTCTGACTTATTTGTATGCAGCTGGTTGTTCCTTGCCACTTGGGCAGATGTACTCCGACTTCAAAGTAAGTCTCCAGTTAGTCAACTTTTATCATATGCTTTTTGAGGAAACAGTTAGTCTGTTCTTGTTTTCCCGACAATGTTGCCCCGGGACCGACACATGAAGTCAGAGAATTTAACTCATTAAAATATTTAAGGATTTGGAGATTTGCTTCATTGCATCTTGTGACAAGATTTCATTCTTGATGTCTCCCCATGTAGGTTCCGGGGCCCTATTAGAGGGAAAACAAGAATAGACCCACTGCCTACCCAGAAGCATGTCATAAGAGTCAACTAATTGGGATTTTCCTTCGAAGTCGAGTGCATCTGCCTGAGAGGCAGAAACCAACAGTCTGTACACAAATTAGTCAGATCTGTCAAACAGATGCACATGCAAAACTTAGGTTCTGAAACACGACTGCAGTCCAGAAGTGGACGAACAATCAGAACTTTCCACCAGAGTTTACAGCTGGTGAACGCAAAAAAGGAAAAGCCATTCTTGGTGTCTCTGAATTTAACTATTTAAATTATTTAAAAGTTTTAAGAATTGACTTCCTTACATCAGATTTGATTCTGTATGACTTGATTTTTCTTGCGGTTCAGCGAGCCCCTAGCTGACAGCATTGCACAAACTGCCCTTAGATCCAGTGATATTTACAGGGATCTCTGAAAAGATATACTTCTCAACTGAATGACACAGTCATAAATTCAAACTTCACTCATGTTTATTTGTTCACATTGGGCTCTGACGGTCATGGTTTTGTTTCATGGCAGCGCCGCTCACTTCATAAGTGCAGTTTTTATTAACTTTCCTGAGGATCGTTGCCTGGGCTACGGAGGTCATGCTCTGTGCGACGCTCTTGGCCATTCCACGGAGAGAGATTGAGCCATATGGGATCAAACTTGGTGTAATGAAGTCGATCCTTTACCTTGACATTTGTGTATATCAACTTTACTTCCTATCTAAAGCACAGGTTGAACAAGTTTGACTTAACATCAGAGTACTCTCTGACTTAGCAAATACAGTGTTGTCCCCACTTTCACAGTATTCCTTGTGATGCCGACCATACTTTTTCTTGGCATTCACTGGCAGACAGTTGTGGTTGTTCATCCACTTCTGGACTTTGGTCATGTTCCAGATCTTGAGTTTCATGTGTACATTCATTTTACAAATCTGGCTTATTTGTATGCAGACTACTGGTTCCTTGCCTCTCAGACAGCATAACAACCTCGCAGGAAACACCTCTAATTAGTCACCGTTTACCTATCTTTTTAGGAGAGCATTGTGTATTCTTCTTCCCTCCAAAATGGGACTCTGGAACCCACATGGAAAAGACCCATACCATATGCAGCATTACCAGAAGACGAAAGGGGTGCAGAGTCCAAAGTAGACCAGTTTAAAAAAAATGGAAAGATAACATCATAGAAACTTTACCACAATGTCCAGTGTCTGTGATGAAGAGATAATTGACCTTGGCTCACAGAGCAACCCTGCCTTTTAACTGTACCGGTATATCTGGGAAATCAAGACTGACAGCATCCATCCAGTGCCGACTGGTCTAAAAAAAAAGTGTCTCGCCTTAACTTTTTAAATACATGTTTTTTTTTTCTTTCAGCTTCTCTGCCCGATGACTTTGGCCAGCTGAAGAAGCTTGAGGTACTCATCCTCATTGACAACTCCCTGACAAGCCTGCCTCGCTCATTTTCCAATCTGTCAAATCTGAAGACCCTGACCTTGTCAAAAAATCAGTTTAAGTCATTCCCCACAGAGATCCTTCCCTTGCAGCAGCTGGACTCTGTTGATTTATCACAGAATTCAATAACACAGCTTCCTAGCGATATGTCTGCACTACAAGCCGTAGAACTCAATCTTAATCAAAATCAGGTCAGATTAATTTATTACAGGCTATGCTTTATTTTGAAATATATTTTGGACTTGTAATGATTTCTTCTTCAGGTCTAGCACTATGTGCCCAGTAGAAAATACAGGTCTAGCACTAACTATGTGCCCAGTAGAAAATACAGGTCTAGCACTAACTATGTGCCCAGTAGAAAATACAGGTCTAGCACTAACTATGTGCCCAGTAGAAAATACAGGTCTAGCACTAACTATGTGCTAGTAGAAAATACAGGTCTAGCACTAACTATGTGCCCGGTACGCCTGAAGGCGTGGAAAAAAGGCCCTTTCTTTACCTTACTTTTGCCTACTGTGTAAGGTAAATTTTACTGTAAACTATCATTGTTAACATAGTTAACAATTTTTTTTATGTGTTTTCCCACTACTTTTACTCAGGTTTTCATTCTGTAACACATCTTTGTTTCCAGGTATCAACTCTGCCAGTGTCTCTGGCTCAGTGTCCTAGACTCAAGGTTTTGAGGCTGGAAGAAAACTGTTTGGACACTTCTGCACTAAAGCCTGAAATCATGAAACATTCGAAGATCAGCCTTCTGGCAGTGGAAGGCAACATGTTTGATATGAAAGCATTTCATCAGCTGGATGGTTATGATGATGTAGGTTTACGTATTGTTTCTTTGTATTAGATATCACAGCGTCGAGTTTGAGAATGGAGGTGGAGGCGGTCACTGCTGCCTTCAGCTGCCTTGAAACTACACACGTGTTGTGATTGTATGTGAGAGTATGTTGAGAAAAGTGGAGATAGCCATGCTTCATGCAGAGTGGCAAGCATCACATCAGAGGTCCAGGGTAGTTAGCGTCATTTGGAAATTTTTTCCAGGTCATGCTGGTGTGTTTGGGAATATGAGCAGAGAGATAGACTGGCTGGTTCTGCACCACTGGGTGGTAAATTGATGTATGAAAAGCTGGATGTTGCGAGGGCCCTTTGGGAGCACATGAACAGTGAGGAGGCACAAATATATCATTGCGGTCTGAGGGGAATGGCGTTGCGGGGAGTTACCAGGGAGTCTGGCCAGCGCTCAACAACCAGGGATAGGTGAGACAGATATACAATCAGACTGTTACTGGTACCATCAGAATTTGAACTCTCTGCTTGCTGTTGGGGACGGAGCGCTTATGCGAGGGTCCCGAGTGCTATGATGTCAATTCTTAATTCAACATGCTTTGTATTTGCTTACGGGTAAATGCCAGATCTAAGGGTTGGCATAACGGTCAGATTCATGTAGACCAGGTATAAATCAGGAAGTCTCCTTAGCAAAGTAGTGAAGCCATGTACTTCACACTCTGAAGGTCGTGGCTGTGGCTGTGTTTGATGGACACGTCATTCAGATCACGAGTGCAGTCTTTCATAGATCCCTGAAACTTCAGAGTTTGTGCCTTGTGCGAGCTCTCAGCAGGTGGCTAGTCTGCGGAAATAGACAGCGCCATATGAGATAATTTGGTGCAATGAAATCAATCATGTTCACTTTAAATGTTAGTATGAATCAGCACTGTAGATTTTTACAGAATAAGAAATTTGTTGATGTTATATATCCCCTCACCCATTTTCTGTATCCTGAGGCTTGCAAAGAACACTATGTGGGTTTCGGGACTGACGGCATTTTGGAGAACAAAGAACAGGACCCACTGCCTCCTTAACAAGCATGTCTTAGGAGGCAACTAATTAGGGGTGGCTGTGACTTGTGAGGCAAGGAACCAAAGTCTGTGTACACATAAGCCAGATCTGCAAAATGGATGTGCACCCAAAACTCAAGCTCTGGATCATGACCAAAGTCCAGGAGTGGATGAACCAACAGAAGTTACTGCTAACTTTGACAGCCAGTGAACGTGAAGAAGAAGAAGAAGAATCAGGGGTTGACCAGCACACATGTGGACACAAGATGTTTTAGAGACATCTTGAGTATGAAAATACTTTGGGCAGGGGAATTGGCAAAGGACAGAGAGAATCTTTCCCGTGGACTATATGACAGTGATGAATCATTCTGAGGTAGTGGATTTGACACTTAAGTCTCTTCTTGAAAAAAATGAAGGGTTTGTGAGCAGATTCTTCAGTCATTGAGAATTGACAACATTAAACTGAATAAATGCTTGATCCCTTTCTCAGAGTATTTCTCAGTAGCATAGTCATCGATGTTGCCGTCCTGTCCTAGTTAACTGTTCTTTTTTGTTCACTCTTATTGTGTCCTTGTTTCATTTTACGTCTTTGGTTTAGTTGTTCTGCAGCCTGGTCATGGTCCGATATCAAGAACAAAATTAAAATATGTACACTCAGAGGCTTAATTCTGAAGCTTGTTCAAGTGTGATATGAGAGATGATATGCCAGTTTGCTAAGGCTACGTTTTTCTGTATACTAACTAAATGTCTTCCTTTTCTTCTGCTGCAGTACATGGAGAGATACACAGCAACCAAGAAGAAATTCAACTGAGCATGCTGGCCGTTACATCTTGACATGCTGTTAGTCAATTCTCCTGGCAACAGTTTGTTGTATCAGGTCAATTTATCCAATCATTGGCAAGCTGAAAAGCAGTCATTAGGTCACTGATTGATATACTGGGATTCAGAAATGCTTATATAAATTTTATAATTAACTTTCCTTCTCCATTATTACAACGGAATAATGGATTGCATTTATACAATGACACTAAAAGATATATTAATTCCAGAAATATTATTTGCCTCCATTTATGTTTAGAATTTCATTATCTCTTTTGTCCAGATTTTGTTGCATAAAAATAATCACTGAATAAAATGTTAACAGCATTATGATGATAAGTCCAGAATTTGGTTTATTTTGAACAGTTGGGATAATAAAGAGTTTTGGTAAATAGAAAATTTGCAGGCAATGGTTTCAGATTTGTAATTGAATTAATGAGGATACAGACAATATACTGCATAGTTTGTTGACTGGTATATGTCTCTACATCTCATTAGGTGCAGACTACAGAAATTGCACCTGGAAAAAAATACATGCTGAGTGGTTTAAAACTTCCATGGCAAAACGTACAGTGAAACAATGTACTATGAGATTTATGTAATTCACTTAAAAAGGATTCCTTTGTGCTTTATTGTATGTTATTAACATGACCTCACCATGTGGACTGTGGGGCCCCATTGTGGGGGAAAAAATAAACTCACTGCCCCCCCAACAAGTAAGTTGTAAAAGTCTACTAATTAGAGTGGTTCCTTCGAAGTTTGAGTGCATCTGGCTGAGAGGTCATGGACCAGCAGTCTGCATACAAATTAGCAACATCTTTAAAACAGATATGCATGCAGAACTCAAGTTCTCAAACAATAGTTAAGTCCAGAAGTGGACAAATAGCCAGAAATTTCTGCTGGAGTTTACGGCTGGTGAAGATAAATAAGAACAGGTAACATCGGCATCCATGGCTTAAGGATCCAAAATGTGTTTTGTAATTCTGAAATATCTGGTTCAATTCTTCTTTTCGCGTTCACCAGCTGTTAACTCCAGTGGAAGGTTCTGGTTGTTCATCAACCTCAGGACTTTGGTCTCGTTCCAGAACCTGAGTGTTTTGTGCACATCCATTTTACATGTCTGACCTATTTATATGCAGATGTTAGTTCCTTGCCTCTCAGGCAGACACACTCCAACTTGGGAGGAAGCTCCCAGTTAGTTGACTCTCACAACATGCTTGTTGGGAAGGCAGTGGGTCTATTCTTGTATTCCTCACAATGGGGCCCTGAAACCCACACAGGGATGGTTCAGTTCAGTTGCAGGTAGTTTGGCAGCAGACTGTTTTGCATTGATTTTTACAACGGTTTGAAGAGCCAACTAGTCCTAGAGCATTGATCAGCTACTGCAGGTAAAATTGCCTAGTAAAACCAAACAGTCAAATAATGCTGGGGTTGGTTTGCAGCGTTCTGTACATGATACACAACTGACTGTTTTTTCTTTTTTTTTTTTTAAATATGGAAACCCAGTTCAGTTTTTAAAATATGCCCTGATGAAGGTTTAAGCAAGATTGAAGTCCAGAAGTGGACAAACAACCATAACTTTCTGCCCGAGTTTGCAGCTGGTGAATGCAAAGAAGAATAGTTTAAAGTTCAAACAACGAATCAACATCATGGCACACATAGTAACCCATAAGTGCTCCGTTCTTCTTCTAACTGTAGCACCGGCGAGGATCCTGAAATACTTTGGGTAGATTTTTAACTCCAAATTTCGCCTGGGTCGCGCCTCTAGGCTACTCTTCAATTTCCAACTGTCAAGGGATTTTTTTTACGTGCGCAACAATGCACACGGGCGTCCCATCTCACTACCCAGACCAGGGGTTTTTACTAGAAGTCCAAGTCCACATGAAAAAATACCAGTCCTTACTGGGGATTGAACCCGGAACTTGTAGCACTCAAGGCCGACACCATGCCTCGAGGCCACGCGGCCGCCCTAAGCAAAGAAGAATAAGACAATTAGGCTGCTGGAAATACTACTGATACAAAACTGGCAATTCTTCTTTGGTTGGCTTGAAATAGATTATCTGTATCTGCAATGTTGTCTCTGGCAATGATCTGTGGGACATTGGCTATGCTGCCAGTTTAACAGCCCTGAGCTAGAAGGTCTTTGGTTCAAGTCTGTTATGGGGTGGATTTTTATAATTAACACTCCTAAATTGATCCAGGCTAAAATGGGTACCAGTAAATATCCAGGGAAGTAAAGGAAACTGCTTGACAGCCTTTGAATACAGGTCAGGCACCATATACCTGACAGAACAATTGTGTGAAGAGGACTTTTTAAAAAAAAACTACATGGAAGTGCACATTTGTCCTCATCGGTGAGTTTGTTTTGTGTTACCAATGTATTATTCTATCTCTTCAGTGGTGATATAAAACAGAGCTTATAACTTCTTGCCTTTTAAAACCCTTGTGTATTGTCAAAACTGCAGCCCTAATCTGTGATCAGATGTTTTCTTTTATGTAATCAGATTATATGTTTTTTCATATCTTGATATTCCTAATGTTCGATGTCTTTTGGAATATATGTTTTATCGCCGTAACCACTCCTGTTTTGTGTTTTTTAAAAACCATGTTTACACTCACATTGATCATTGTTGTGTGGCTTTAAATCATGTTGTGGGAGATGTTACTTGATGCTGTCTGGTTCAGGAGTTGAAGCAATGGCTGTGGAGAAAATGGAGAGTTAAAAAATAAACAAATAACTAGAATAGAGCAGGTTAAAGTTGAAGGGTCACAGATCTCATGGTGATGTGGTCAAGCTGTTTGCCTTGCACTCCGAACATTACGGGTTCATTTCATGGGCTCAGATTTGATTGAGATTCCTGGGGGATCTTTGCTGAAGTAACCAGTGGGATCTGGCCGACACTCAACGCTCAGGGAAAGGGTGAGACGGATATACAGTCAGACGGTTACTGGTACCATCGGAATTGGAACTCTTCGCTTGCTGCTGAAGATGGGGACTGAGCACTTATGGGAGTGCCCCGAGTGCTGTGATTCCTATTCTTAATTCAACATTCTTTGCTAAAGCTGTAAAGTTCATGTTTTGCGCGCCATTCTTAGTAGGTGGCTGGCCGTTTTCCTGAGAGAGACCAGCCATATGGAATAAAACCTAGTGCAATCAAGTTGATTCTCTTAACACTTTTATCTCCCGAGAAACGCACCCATGTTTGCTCATGTCTAAGTGTATTAGTGCAGCACAAGGTGTGTGTTATTATATTTTTCTTGTTTGGTCTGGGTATGCAAAAGAAGTCTGGCCATATATTTTAAATGCAGCACAGTATATGTTGTAGCTCTGAAAGTCATACACTGATGTCTTTTTCACTGTAAATATTGTACTGAATTGGGTTTCTACTTTGAAACCGCCTGGGACTTAAGAGTTAACTTTAGAGTAGGTTAAATATGGTGGATAGGCAATGCAGATTGTTAGCTTTGAAGTTTACTTTGCTACTAGCCATGGTTTGCTAATGCAATTTCCCCATATGGGCTGGATCATAGAGTTTCATTGCCTAAGCTGCTGAGTTAAGTGCTTGGTGCAGCACTGGAGCTGTGTATTTTATGGAATACCTTTCTTTGTGCCTGCAGCGGTAGTTGTGATATTAAGAAAATAGCAGGTAGATGGTTTGCATTTGGGCTGGCGATCTACTTATTCATTAATTTTTGTATGCCAGCTCATTGTACCTAAATATTGACTTCCCTCAATGACAAATTGCAGTTCTGGTGGCGACTGTTGGTATTGTCATCTCTAGCAGCAGGCTTGTGCAATTACTGCATGTTCATGTTTCTTGATTTTGCCAGAATAATTTTTGTTCACTGGTTATTAAATGGGACAACGAGGAACATTTTATAAGATTTCTACTTACACAGAAATGAAGCCATTATGGAGCGATTAATTTGCAATGCAGTTGAAGCCTCAGCTATGACTAAACAAATAATTTCCTAGGACGGAAGATATTAGAGTACAGAAGGACCGATTGGAGGTTATCACAATCTGAGAAGAATGGACCAGGAGTGATCAGGGGATCTAGCAGACGCTCAGCACTCAAGGAAAAGGTGAGACTGATGTACAGTCAGACTGTTACTAGTGCCATCAGAATTGGGACTCTGTGTTTGCTGCTGAAGATGTGGATCAAGAGCTTATAGGACTGTCCCTTTGCTGTGATGTCAGTTCTTAATTCAACATTCAAGTCACCAACTGGGTGAGCTAGGATAACATTAGTGGGTCTCTCTTTAACTGTTTAATTCGTGGTAAGAACGTCATATGTTCATTTTTATGGCTGTATTTGGTTAGCAAGTTTAGGTGTTTTGGAGATCTGCTGGGGGACATTGCTGGAGCTAGAGTGTTTTGTGCTTTGTGTGATGCTATCAGTGGAAAAAAGCCGATCTGTTCAGAGAAAGTGAAATAAAAACAAGTGCAGTAAAATCAGTTCTGTTGTCCTTAAATGGACAGACTTATAAATGAATCTTCAGCAAACATCACAAGATGCTGATGTGTTCCCATAACACACTAGTTATAAGCATGTCACATTCATCTATCCTTGCTGCAGTCATGGTTAATTCCAAACCTTCTTCTTATTCTTAAAGTCTGTGCTATGTGGCTTTCATAGTCATGTCTATCCACAACCTTCTGTCTTGTGTACTTTTAGTCAACTCGGACACAGATGATCCTCCATGCCATGATGTCAGACTATCCAGCATCTTTTCTCTCAGTCTTCCTCTGCCTCTCCTCCCGCACAACTTTCCTACTGTCACGATGTATTCCAGATTTCTCCTTCTCTTCACATGACCAGAGTGTAGATTGTCTCTTTCTAATGTGGACAATTCCAAACTTAGGTATCCCTAATCATTTAGTTTCATCTGTTTGTGTGTTTAGCAGTCATTCTTAGATCATCTTCAGAATGATTTCACCTTGCTGATGAGTGTTTCAGTGACTAGTGCTCTTGAGAGTCAGTAGATTCT